TGAAAATGTAGGCAGTCTAGCCTATTTGCTAGTACTATCTTTTCCACTAGGTTCTAAGGAATGGTGCCTTAGATTTCCCATTCAAGATCATCTCAGGTCATTGCAGAAAGAAAATGCATGAAACTTTGAGGATGGTTGTAAAGGAAGCTGTTCATTGCAAATAGCTTATAGAGGATACCCACCTGCTTGTCTCTCCCTACCCACATAGAAGGTGTTCAGCTACCTGCATGAGATTTCAGTGTTATAGTGTCATATTTATTAATTAACACAATAGCTAGAAGAACCATAGATAAGTGCTTTAAAGCAAGCAAGCTCATTGCCTACTATTGTCGCTAATGAGCCAAGTTATAATGAAGAAAGATACTGGGAGAGTTCAACTTAAGTTTATTTGTATATAACTTGGCAGTGCTATGTTTTTCAAATAAAACATGAGCAAATTTTTTTGCTTTTGCAGACTGATTTTTACTTGCTAAGCAATAGCAGAAGTGTGGAGAATTTAATGGAAACATTGTCATAAATGTGTTACATTGATTCACATATTAGCAGAGAATGACTCATAAAGAAAGATCCATATTTTGATTTAATAAGGATGGTAATCTCATAAACAATATGGCAAAGCAGATTCGTGAAAGAAGAAAAATAAAACTTGACACATGGCCCTCTACTTACATTACTTGCAAAGACTGGATTCATAAAGATACCCAGAAAGACAAGAAGCAGAATCTGTAATACAGTATGGAAAACATTAAGGGAGATTTCTATACACTCTGCAGGTCCTTTTTAATTGCCAAATGCAACTAAAATCACATGGTAATAAGCAGCTCCCCAGTCTTTCTGATTTTCCACAAACTCATGTAAGTTATTGAGTGGGAATTTATCATTCATTTATTTTATCTTTTCTATTCACAAGGACTACATAGTGCAACTGTGCTTTGGTGGATTATTCTAATTAATAATGTAACACCTGTCAAGCTAGATTCTGATCTCAGTCACCAGAGTGATTCTATTGTTACTCCAGTTTTATACTAGTGTAATTGAGATTGGAATTTGGTCCATTAAGTAGAACAGGATGCTTCTAACTTAACTGAATAGCTATTTTCCTACCTACAGAACTATGGGATTTCTTCCTCAATTAAGTGTCATGTCCTCTCCCCCAAAATATTTAAAGTATGATTTAATTGCTTGACATGCTAGCATTCTCCATGCAGCTTTCTTGATTATTTAGAGAGCATTTTTTTAAAAACCCGGAGTCAAATCCTGCAGTCCTCTCTCAGGTCATGTTTCTGCCCACACTTTATGCATGTGCTTAAGTTTATTCATGTGCCCAGTCTCATTGGTTCTCAGGATGAGGGCATCAGTCATCACTCAGCAAGGAAAGAGTTAAAATTGAGTAAGGGCTTCACAGTATGGCATGAAATTCTGGCCCCATCGAAGTCAATGGGAGTTTTGCCAATGACTTTAACAAGACTAGGATTATACCTTAATGCATTATGGCAGGATTGGGGTCCTTCACAAAAAGGCCTGAGATAGGCACCTAACTCCCATGGACTTTCAATGGAAGATAGACACCTCTCCTGCTTAGGAGCTTTTGTAACATCCATTAGATGCCTATCTTCATCTTTAGGTCCTGAAATACCTTTGTAAATCTCGGTCCACTTGACTAAATTTGAGTGTGGGTGTTTGGCACGTCTCAAAATCAGGTCCTCGGGGTCTCAAGTTGGACTCCAAAAAATTGGGGCACCCCAAATTAGTGACCACTAATAGTGAAAAATTAGGCCTAAGGGCACAGTCTTTTCAGTTTCTAAGCCCCTTCCCACTCCCACCTTCCATCTTCTTATACCTTATCTTATCTATCCCATTGACTTCAATGGGAACCATGGACTCTCAGAACAGCCCAGAGTTGGGCCCTAAATGTACTAAAATACAAACCATTTAACAGAAAATGTAGGTTGTCAAAACTACTTACAAGTGTCTTCATTTTGAAGCCAACCTGAATTTGATGCTGATCTGACACAAAACGCTGAAGAAAATGAATTTGTATGTCTGCTTCTGACCTTATATATTTTTCAAGGTTGGATTTGAACAAAAGCCCACAGATAAAATATTTATTTTTCTCACTACAAACAGAAGTGAAACACTGGAGCAAACTAAATATTTTGTGCATTATATATTTATCTATGAGGCTGGGTAACACATATTACTGTCAACAGTCTTCATCAAAGCCTTCTGTTTGAGATGATTAATGATACAAACATGAGCATTAAATACACCACAGAGTCTGGTTCGATGCAACCAAAGGAGAATTTCCCCCTTTTCTCAGTCTGTTTTCATCATAGTCTTATTTTCAAAACCCTTTCGACTAAATGTTGTCTAAGTCATTTGATGATACAAATTTTCAGAACATTCTGTGTGAGATCTGAGCTGAGGAGCTCATTCTCTGCTTGCTCCTGATCTGGAGGTACCTATTCAGCCTGGCACCTACTGTGCACTGTGTCAGAAATGTCAGCTATTCTCTAGAATGGTCATCTTCAGACCAGTGCTGGAAATGGCAAGAAGCACATTTGCATATATGCTAAGGGTATGTGTGCATTGAGGTACACAAACTTTGGGAAGGGGCAAAGTGACAGGAGATCTTTGTTTCAACCATGGATAGAAAATGGAATGAAGGGCCTACAGATGAATTACATTTCTTTAAATTTTCTTTTGAATGGGATTTCTTGAGATACTTAGGGGACTTGGGCCCTCATTCTCAGGGTGATAGATGACAGATGGACAATGGTTTTTTTTTGTTTTGTTTTGTTGTTGCGGAGCAGCATTTCTTTGGAGCTGGGGTTTAATAAGTGACTGAAACCTCCGATTCTTCAGCTTGTGCAAACTTTGGCTTTAAAAATAAATACTTCTAAAAAGCTTTGTTCCAGTTCCTGCAAGAGGAGGAAGTTATGCAGAGAAATACCAGTAAGAGAGCAAAGCAGGTCATGGCACAAGTTTGAAGATTCCTGAAGGTGCTGCATAATTCCTCCAAAAATAAATGAAAAACCCTGCTGAACTTTGATTCTTGCCTCTTTCTGTCATTTTTTGCATCACAGCATCCTGTGTAAGAAGAGAATCGGTGCTGTGTATAGGGGTTAAACATGAAAGTCGAGTGAAATAGCCACAAGAAAAGAGCTAACAACAGCTCAAACAGTAAAAAAGAAAAAAAGAAAAGTCCGTCTCCCACTAGAGTTAATTTGTTGTCATTTAGACACTTTTCTTGAAATGCAGGCTGGTGTAACCAAGCAAACTCAGTCTGCTTTCAAACTGGTGGAAGAATAAAACCCAAAGGGATTAGTAAAAATCTTAAAATGTGCTGGGAATGGAGGAATTGTCTGTGGCTCACTGTTTTCTCCTGCAATTCATTGCTTCATAGATTATAAAGTTCATGAGTTCATAAGGCAAGCTTTATGATCTATGAATCATACACTACAAGTATGTGCTAGGAATCTGTGCTGTATCATGTGGATAGAAAAGTTCACTCTTTTGGACTGTCAATCTGGACCCTTTCATGGGCTTTAAATTTATATGAAAAATGTAATTATAAGCCCCTTCCCCCAAAACCCCCCTCAAGCCCCAAATCAGGAATTTTTCATTTACAGCCTCCATGCCAATCTTGGCTTTGCTTTCTGTACACCTTAATTCTGCCCTCAGGACATCCACTCTCCTTATTGGAATCAAAGAGCCATTCTTTCATGTACCCTAACCTCCTTCCACATACACGCCCTTTACATACATGTTCTGTATGAATCATTGTATAAAGCTTGTCTCAAGAACTATGGATGTCGATGGGGCGTGTCGGTATTTAAGAGCTCAGTATAGCTTGAAAGCTGGTCTCTTTCTCCAGCAGAAATTGGTCCAATAATAGTGATTATCCCACCCACCTTGTCTCTCATGTATGTGTCAAGGCTGTTACAAGCAGCAAAGTGCAACCATTCCTTGCATGGCCTGATTTTTTAAAATTTGTCACATCGCATCTACACTTTGTGATGCCAAATTAAACAGAAAAAATAAGCTAAATAAGAAATAAGCCTATATCAAGAACATGGTTTATTCAATATCAGGGTTACTTTCTGAAAAGAAACGGTTGAGTAGGTGCACATAGCCATTTGAGTGACTATCTTGACAACTACTGATCCATCTGCTGGGCCACTAAACCAGTTATTTCCATGCCTCTGACTCGGCTTCCCCTCTTTCAGTTTTCAGTGGAAATTATTCTCTTCTCTGTCAGCTTTAAACTGGCTGTCCACAGTTCTTCTCTGTCTCAGGTACAACGCATTACATTAGCCTGAATAAGCAAGATCACATTCATCATGCGAAATAATGATATTCTAATCCTGGGCAAGAAATGAAGTTCCTTAATATTTCTGATACATTTTTAAAGCTTGGGCAGGATAAATGATGTGCTTCAACTAAAAATAATTCCACTGCTCAAGACTTTAATTATCCACAACAGCCCTTTAACTAGAGAAGCCTAAAAAACCCCAACTTCCTCCAAATTTTGTAATTCACCTAGTTCATCAAAGCCTCTCTAGAGACAGTTTGTAGTCCAGCCTTGGATGTCCATGCAGGGGAGGAAGGAGGAGTGAGATCCCATGTCTGTCCTCTTGCACGGGGATATGGTTGTACCCCTAGGGGGAAGGACAGAGCGTTCCCTTATGCCATGCTTGAGATTTAGTTCAGTCCTGACCCAAAGGTGTGCATCACCTACTGCATCGGTAACCTCATTTCCTGCAACTTGTTGGGTTTTCTTTGAATATCTCCCACCCACATATTGACCTGGTCCAGCCTTTCCTTACTTGTGAGATCACATCCTGACTTATATGATTAAGGATATAAAAGATGAGAAACAAAGCACAGCTGATTCCAGTGCTAAATGTATTTAATTGACAGACATTGTAATAGCCTTGGGTTTTCTACACATGAAGCATAAAGGGAAGACAAAGACAAAAATCTAGAAAATGGCATGTTACAGGAAGAATAACGACAGACCTGGTTTTATCTAATCAGTGGGCACCTTGTCAGACCAGTTCCAAGCAGTGAAGATTTTACTATTTGAATGACACGTCACCACAGAAGCCAATATTAATAATCCACAGGATGCTAGTGTGAAAACAGCTTCCTGAGTAGAAGAAGTTTGCTTCTTTCATTCCTTAATGAAAAGAAAAAGAAAAGGTATTGTCAGGTGATGCCTGATGTGGATGTTAGGAGATCTGTGCATTCACTACACTTCAAGACACACAGAACCCTGCACCTCGTATAGCCACTAACACCTGCACAAAGTGATCACAAAGTAGGTGTAAAATGCTACCCAATCAGAGTGGGAACATGTTATGCCCACATTACACAAACGTCAATAACTGCCTAAAGTCTAAGGCAATGGAGAGTCAGACTCAGAAAATTCCCACTGTTCTACAGGATTAATTCCTTGAATAACACCGAGTTCCTGTAACAAGGAAAATACTCCTTTCCTGCAGAACAAAGAACATTTTAATGCGATCAAGTAGGACAAGACATAGCATCCGCATCAGACAGTGAATGATTTATCTCTGCATGGTTTGTGACCTCTACTATTTTTGGTAACAGTTCAACAACAATTGTTATACAAGTATATATTTCTATTACTCTGGTCAAGGAATCTTGTTAATATAAAAGTTTTTGAAATAAATAATATACAAAATATAAATAAAAGTATAAAAATACAATCAACAAAGCCAATTGGATTTTTGCCTCAAAAATGACTGACCAGAAATTTGAGCTAATTACTATTCTTCAATGAACGCTAGCTAATTAATCCTCTCAACAATCATATGTGGTAGCTAAGTAATAGCTGTTATTCCCAACAAGAACCTGCAAGGTGTTCAGAAATGTGGCCTGATCCAGCAAAGTGCTTCAGCACATGTTTAATTTTAGGCACATGAGAAGTCCCACTGTAGGCTTGAGCCCGCAGCAGTTCTTCCATGACCACACAGCAAGTCAGCAGCAGTTAATGGGTTAGAAGCTAGTAGTTCCTGAATCCCAGCACCAAGGTTATTCCACTAAACCACATTGTCTCTCTTCCGTATCTTAGCGATAGATCCAAGGTACAAAATTCTGTACCAGACTTTGAACAACTCAACGTTTGGGAGTGTTGGAATCCGAGCTTTTACCATTATAGAATATAGACTGAGGGCAAAAAAATTCAGATCCAGAGTCTAATACCCTTCTAAAGCACACCAAGTTCTTGGTTCTGGTCCATCTCTACTTAGGACAGTAACATTCATTCCATGCAGAAAATGCAACTCAGTTCGCTATGAATAGTTACTTTAACTTGCACTCACTCTCAGCCTCATGAGCCACATAGGTAGGAAGTCCTCTGCACAAAGCTTCAATGTTCTTTCCAAAATGGGTCAGATCAAGGACTCTGGTCTTTGAGACAATGAATCTCAGTTCCTTCGGACGAGGCCCTTGAGCTCCAGCCTTCTAAACATCCGGAAAGCAAACTCAGAACACTGTCATTCAATAAAACTGATGACTAGAATCATTTATGACAGTTTGTGTTCCTGTAGCTGACATTTCTGACACAGTGCACAGTGTGTGCCAGGCTGAATTGTGCCCTACAGACCAGAAGCAAGTAGGGAATGAGCTCCTCAGTTCAGATCTCACACCGGGGCACAAGGTGGAGGTGAGGACTGAAGACGCAACCATGCATTAAGAGAAGACCACTGGAAACTCCATAAAGTTGACTGGGGAAAAGAGAAAGGCTGTCTATAATTTACCTGGGCCCTCTCTCTAAAATATTCCCTTAATCCTATGCTCAATCCTATACCCTAGATATACATGGGATTGAAGATAGGAGAAGTGAGGGGCTGGGAATCTATTAATTTATTTTCCCATAACCATAACAAATGAGAAGGCAGGAACATGTATATTAAACACATTTGCTGGAAATGTTTACAACCTGTTCTTGAGAACTGTAATGAATATATTGATAGTATGGCACATTGTTTGGTAGAACTAAGTGAAAATTAGAATTTCCATCCCTCAGGAAAGTCTGATGTTTCAACATTTGTTTTCATTGTGAATTAGAATAAAAGGTTGAAATACTGAAATTGTTCAAGGAATATAAAATTCCAGAATTTTTTTTTGAAATGTAAAATTTCATTTTGCATTTTTGATCAAAAAGGAACATTTTGATATTTTTGAATCAAATTGTTTTGCTTCAGTTTGCTGAACTGACCCAAACTGCTGTCTTTTTAAACTGTACTGGCTCATTGCCTCAAGGGAGCTGTAGATCAGGTTGCCTGATGTCCCTGTTCTCCTCTGTGGGCAGGCTCCCTGACTTGAGTACATGTCCCATGATGCACCTGCAATGATGTGACTCCAATGACATGTAATGGCACTCAGTCAGAAGAAAAACTCTGTTGCACCATTGGAGAGAATGGAGGCCTAAAGTACAACTCCCATGAAGCATTGTGCCACAATAGGAAATGAAGTTTAAAATTGAACTGACTCAAAATGAAGCATTTTGGGTTAAACTGACCCAAAACAAAATATTTAGTTTCTATTTTCCCAATAAAAATAAATTAATAAAAAACAAAATTTCCCATAGAAAATTTCAATTTTTCAGCAACTGCATTTTCCATTAGAAAATCATTCTGCTGAAAAATTCCCAGACAGCTCTATTGTTCAGCTTGAGTTATTTGAAGCAATGCTGAAGGCTAAGATGGACTATAATGGGGTATCTTCCAATAAGGAGTTTTAAAAACACCTCAAATCTGTCCCTAACTCGGTGCAATCTGGTCTTCTCCAGAGTGAGAAAGTATGTTCTTCAGGAATATTTCGATGAGCCCCCGAGTTATGTCATATTTAGCAGGGAGGACTGAGAAATATCCCTCTAGTTTTATGGTGGAATTGTAACAAGGGGCTGAGCTCTTTCGAAAATCTAGCCTCAATTGTGTGTTCTGAGCCACTGAATATATGTCCTTGAGTTCCTTTGAAAAACTGGCCGGCTCGTTTGGCCAGAGACTTTTCTTCCAGAGCTGGATCATTTGTTCCCCTCCAATTTCAGCTGGTCAGAACATGGATTTTATCTGATGTGAAAAATTTTGAAATTTTTATTTTTTGTTCATCCTAATTGGGAGGAAAAGCCAAAATTTTGAATTTTTTCATGAAATGAAATTCTGAAAAAAAATTGTTTCAACTGTATTGTTTCATTTCAATACATTCAAAATGTTTCATTTTCATTCTGATCCTGCTGGTTTTATATATATATATATATACATATAAAATCAGCAGGATCAAAATGAAAGCATTATATACATACATTATATATATATATATGTATGTGTGTGTGTGTGTGTGTGTGTGTATATATACATATATATATATACACACACACACACCCCACACACACATATATAAAACTGCAAAAAAAATTTGTTCCAAAAATGTCAAAACAGGACTCTTCTAAAGTTTTTTCATATTTTTTCTGAATAAAATTTTGTCAAAATCAATATGATATTGCAAAAATTTTCAGTTTCATCTAAACGGGAATTTCTGACAGAAAACTATTCTGATGAACATTTTCCTACCTACAACAGCTCTACCTCCAGCATCTGAAGATGATTCATTTCCACAATTAGCTTTATACTACTAGGACTTGTTTACCTGGGGACACTCAGGAAAGTTAAGATGAATTAATTAAAGGTGTGAAGTTAATGTGCATAAATTAAAGTGTGTTAACACCCCCCCCCCCCATGTGGACAGTCTCAGAAAGTGGCCCAAGTTTGTGGAGGATTAAACTACAGTGAACTAAAGCCACTTTAGCTGTGAATGAGAGCATGTGTGGGGGTGTAGACAAGCCCTTAGAAAAAAGCAACCTCACTTCCCCCCATCACTTCCAGCATTCCCTACCATCTTACCTTCCTTTCGCTAATCAGCCTGGGAATGACTACAATATCAGGCATGACATCTTTGTTCATTTTAGCAACGATGCAAGATTTCTTGGAAAATACCCTGGTTGCCATGAAACCCTGTAAAATAAAATTACAAAGAGCTAGACGTTTTGTTTGAGCAGCTCCCCAGTAAATGAGACGCAAATCAGGTTTGTTTAATTTTTGAAGCTAACTAACATTTAATACAGATTTCCCTCCCCAACATTTAGACCAATTTTGATAAATTATTCGTAATCTGCATGCATTATGACTAATCATTTAGGCACTACTCCAGTCAGTGACTCCATACGTTTCCCAAAAATGCATGTTTGCCACTTACATTGCCATAGTCCCAGACGGAGTTCCATGAGTTCCAGCCATTGTTTGTGTCAATGTTGGCCACGTGCTTATTGTTGTTGATGCTCACAGTCTGGCGTGAATTTCCACCATCATTTCCCTGGTTGTTTTCATTCACATTCTTGGATTTAAAAACAAAAGGTGACAAACATTTCGGTTTTTCGGGTTTTTCTCGTCAACTCTCTCATAATCACAAGTGCTTTGGAAAATCATTGCTCTTAAAATTATGTTATGTAATGTAATGTAATGTAATGTAATGTATGTAGTGATGTAATGGAATGAGCCTCCCACCCCACTGAGGCGACTAAAGATTTCATGCCAAACCCTGAAATCTCTTATTCTAATTTATGCAGCCCTTCTTCGGCAAAATGCTATTGATACAAATCTAGAGGTGGAGTTTTGCCTGAGTGAGAACTCAGTCAGAACTTGTCCAATTGGCTTCAGTTAAAAGATAGCCAGATCATTCCATCACAGATCATCCCTAACAGATTTTCCCTTCCTGCATGGAAGTAAGGGGTCATCTGTCTATGCAGGACAGACCCGCACTTTTCCAGATCCTACTGACGGTACTCAACAGGGAAAGAACTCAATCATCATCATCATCACCACCAATAGTAATAAAAATAATAAAAATGTATCAGAGTGGTAGCCGTGTTAGTCTGGATCTGTAAAAGCGGCAAAGAGTCCTGTGGCACCTTATAGACTAACAGACGTATTGGAGTATAAGCTTTCCTGGGTGGATACCCACTTCTTCAGATGCATGTAGTGGAAATTTCCAGAGGCAGGTATAAATATGCAAGCAAGAATCAAGCTAGGGATAATGAGGTTAGTTCAATCAGGGAGGATGAGGCCCTCTTCTAGCAGTTGAAGTGTGAACACCAAGGGAGGAGAAACTGCTTTTGTAGTTGGCGAGCCAGTCACAGTCTGTGTTTAATCCTGAGCTGGTGGTGTCAAATTTGCAAATGAACTGAAGCTCAGCAGTTTCTCTTTGAAGTCTGGTCCTGACTTTTTTTGCTGCAGGATGGCTGCCTTTAAATCTGCTATTGTGTGTCCAGGGAGATTGAAGTGTTCCCCTACAGGTTTTTGTACATTGTCATTCCTAATATCTGATTTGTGTCCATATATCCTTTTATGTAGGGACTGTCCAGTAATAAAAATGATCTGTTTGTCTGAATTATTGTAGCATCTACAAGCCCCAGTCATGAATCAGGACAATCATGCTTAAAAGCCTGTTTGGAGGTGGGTTTGTTGTTTTCAATCACATTTGTAGCATAATGAATTAAGTTTCTGCAATGGACAAAAAACTCTTGTGAGGTTACCATTGGGTTACATACATTTGCCATTGTTCTAACCTATTGTTATGGGGCAGTCAGAACCATTCCTAAATATTGACGTATCTTTGTGATCAAATTTCCAGCATTCTTAACATACACAGTAGTGTCCTAAGGTCTGATTCTCATTTATGCTAAGGCCTTTTTGCACCAGTCCGGCAGTATGAAAGGACCTTAAATTGGGTGTAAATTATATATATGCCCTTTGCAAGCACTGTTTACACTACCAGAGCAGCATAACGAGGAGTAAATATAAATGAGAATCAAGCTCATAATATATACAGTGGTATCTCAATGGAATTTTATCCACTGATAGAACAAATATTCATTTTCCCACTAGGAACTCCACCAATAATCACAACATTTTGACAATGGCAGAACAATATTGATGCATTGCAATAGATATTACACAATTTTTCCTTTCATGTTTGGTCTGACATGCAGTAATGTTAATTGCAAAATCATTCTCTGAGTAGGTTAGCTGAATAATTATTTTCTTTAGAGCACAAACCCAGTCTTGTGATATTGCAACTTTATGTGCTAAGGACATTTTAGATTTTTCTTCAGAAACATCTTTCAGTAATGTGAAAATTCATGAAGCATAAATTAAACAAATTGACAGGAGGTGTATTATGAACCTATTTGATCATTATACTCACATCAGTAGCAAGAGATGGAGTTAGGAAGACACCAAGAAGACTGGCAATCACAATCTGAAATAAACATTGAAAGCATATCAGTATAAAGGCTGATATGGCTAAAAATATAGTAAGAAGAACCTTGACATACACCTTTCCTTCAAATTGATGTAAAGTAAAGTATCTGAACTGATTTTGCTTTCACACTGGATGCATATTACTTCAGGGGATTTATGCCTTTGTTGACACTAGTGTGAGATCAGATTCAGATCCATTGCTTTAATTTTTTACATATCAGCTATTTAAGATTCTTTAAAGGGCCAGATTCTTCAGACTTCACTTATCATATTTGCTTTGAAAAGACTTTTTTGCTTGACTAAGGAGAGCAGGATTATGCTCATACTATTTAAAAGTTACAGAAAGTGGGCTTGATCCATCACTGTGTTACACCAGGTTTCAGAGTAGCAGCCGTGTTAGTCTGTATTTGCAAAAAGAAAAGGAGTACTTGTGGCACCTTAGAGACTAACAAATTTATTGGAGCATAAGCTTTCGTGAGCTACAGCTAGTGAGTATATTTACGAAAGCTTATGCTCCAATAAATTTGTTAGTCTCTAAGGTGCCACAAGTACTCCTTTTCTTTTTGTGTTACACCAGTTTTCTGATGGTATAACTCCATTGACATCAATCGGCACTGGACCATGCCCCACGCCCTCTGCATACAATACAATTTGCATCTAAATCGTATTCAGCTTAATGTGGTCTGATAAATTGCATTTCCTGTTGCAGTGAAATCACTAGTGTCCCCACAAACCTTGCACCAATGCAGCTCCCATTGAAATGTCTGGTATTTCTGCGTGTGTAAAAACTACCCTTTTTGGACCAATGAGAGTGTTAATGCTATATTATTTTGTAGGAAGCAAATGGTAAATATACTCACGGAGAGCTTCATTTTTACAGTGGAGGAGGTGAAAGATCTGCTTGAGGAAGTGATACAAACCCTTCCACTTTATATACACTGGGGGTTCCCAAAATTAGGTGTGGAAAGTAAACGTATCATACTAGCATGTAGCCATTGATATGTGACATGGAGCATTATCTCCTGGTGCAATTACTATGCAAACAAAGGGGTTTGAAACTGGCCTGATAGAGTCAGTCACCTGCAGCAGATAAGGGTCAATTATACTTAATCAAGATCAGCCTTTCAATCCCTAAAGTCAAACAAGATTCCTGGTGCAAAATAGTGCCTGCATGCCAAATGCCTCAGCCCAGCAAACATTTTTCTCTTTTATAACTCATCGTATTTCATAAAGTATGATAGCATCTCTTTGTGCCAGGAAGCTCTATGGGCTTAGCCCACTCCACATGAAAAGGGAGAGTTAGCTGCCTTTATGGCTATGTGTCGGCTCCTCTGGCACTGTGAAGGGCGATCTCCATGTGTTCGGGGTCTGCACTGAGGGAAATAGCAGGTCCAAGGCATGCTGGGTGCAGGAATAGGTGGAACAGGGACAATGCAGAAAAAATAATATGTCCTAAGACCTTGTTATCTTTTCTTAGCCCCCAAGGCCAGGATCCTGGGGTGAAATGTGGCCCAGGAGTATCCCCGGTTACTACTGCCCAGGAACTGGCAGTCCTACCAAGGGTCAGAGCCATGGCAGATCCACCAGATTTGGCTCCTCCTCCCAGCCCCGCCCCAGTCTCCAAATCCTCTAATTTTCTGCAGAACATTAATTTAAACATTTACTGGTTTTTATGAGAAGGGTGTCAAGGAACCGAACAAAGCAACGGGATGCAGCTAATCCCTGTGGTGCAGTGACTAAGAATGCTTCAACAACCATAATTATTTCAACTGCCACAGACAACATGTGCCTCTTAGAAATGTGACTCTCCAATCCCCTTTAGACTGTTGGTTGCTCATTATCGTCTATCTGTCAGCCTTGCATGGCTGGGCCTCTGGAGACTGTGACAAGCTTTGGAAGCTAATTAGATTCACAGAAATCAGAGATGGAAAATACTCTGCAGCACCATGTCCCATCCCATGACCAATGCAGGGTTGTTCCCTATAGCATGGGCTTTAATGCTTTGCCAGAAAAGTTCTCTTATGGTGTGCAGAAGGCACCTAGGGGCAGGCAAATGGACCTGGATAAGAATAGATTCATAGATTATAAAGCTAGAAGGGACTGTTGTGATCATCTAATATCGCCTCTTATATAACATAGGCAATAGGAATTCCCTGGATTAATTCCTGTTTGAACCAGAGAATATCTTTTAGAAAAAAACATCCAATCATGATTTTAAAAGATTGATGGAGAATTCATGAAAGCCCTGGGTAAGTTGCTCCAATGGTGAATTACCCTCTCTGTTAAAAATGTACACCTTATTTCTAGTCTAAACCTGTCTTGCTTTAACTTCCAGCTGTTGGATCTTGTTAAACCTTTGTTAGCTCAATTGAAAAGCCTTCTATTACCAAATTTCTGGTCCCCATGTAGGTATTTAGAGATTGTGATCAAGTCAGCCCTCTCTGTGATGAGCTAAACAGATTGAGCTCCCTGAGTCTTTCTCTATAAGGTATGTTCTTCAATCTTTTAATTCTTATGGCTCTTCTCTGAATCCACTCCAATTTCTCAAAATCCTTGAACTTTGAACACCAGAACTGGACACAGTATTCTAGTAGCAGCAGGACCGTCCCTAGCGGGTGCGGGGCCCGGGGCAGAAGTGACAAATCTGTCATTTCCAGGACCAACCCATCACTTCTGGGACCAACTGCAATGGCCAATCACTATGATCCCCCAAAGCATAGGGCCCGGGGCGATCACCCTGATTTGCCATACCCTAGGGACGACTCTGAATAGCAGTCACACCAGTGCCAAATACAGAGATAATACATAACCTCTCTATTCCTAGTTGCCTGTGGTCCATCATGGGGAAAGGGAGCCTACCTCATAAAGGAGAATGGGAGCATGAAGCACTATGGCTGTATTTCCAAATCATAATATTTCTGATTTAAATTTTTGTCTAAAAGTCAAAATTTCTGGATGTGGGAGGAAAAAACCCCAACATTCCCCCCCCACCCCCACCCGGCTCTGTTACTCATCCCCACACTGGCCCTGGCAGAAGGAACATGACATGGCCAGAGAGAACATGGCTACAGAACTCCTGCACTTCAGCAATACACAGTTGGCAGATGGTAGGATAGGTGCCAAATATTTTAGGGCAGTGAGCTGGAAAGCAGTATAGAACTGGCCCCAGCATTGGGGATTCGCAACCTGATCCTTTGGGCCCCCCATCTCCCACTGTGTTGCACTTCAATTCCTCTGAGCCTACCAGAGAATTTGTCCCCAAGTACTGAACTGAGAAACACAGTTTGTCTGCTACACGTTATTTGCTTTAGGTGGAGAGTTCAGCAGAGGTGTAATAACTGAATGCAAAGGTCACCGTGGCACATTTTGTTAGTATTTTAGGCGGTGGCTTAGAGCTCTATTGCCCGATCCCTCTTATCTCTTGTGGGTGAAGTCAATATTCATCAAAAGCATCTCAAGAAATGTTGTATTGGGGATTGGTCCTGCTTTGAGCAGGGGGTTGGACTAGATGACCTCCTGAGGTCCCTTCCAACCCTGATATTCTATGATTCTATGATTCACATGGGGAGATTTCTGAATCAATGTTTTTTTCATCTGAGTTTGTTTGATCTGGTTTTTCAGGTGTTATTAACCTGCTTCTGCATGGTTGAAATGAAAGAATTTTGCAGATTAAAAAAAACCTCTTACTACAATTTTATAAATTTATCTTTTTCAAAAATCCACATCTCTTTTATTTAAATGATTGACATCGGGTGCTGGGACTAAAAACTAATTTCCCCTTGCTAATTTTCCCCCTACTGTTACTCACACCTTCTTGTCAACTGTTTAAAATGGGCCACCCTGATTACCACTACAAACGTGATTTTTTCTCCTGTTGATAATAGCCCACTTTAATTGAATTGTCTCTCTAGAATTGGTGAGGCAATGCCCATCTTTTCATGTACTATGTATATATATCTTTCTACTGTATTTTCCACTCCATGCATCTGATGAAGTGGATTTTAGCCCACGAAAGCTTATGCCCAAATAAATTTGTTAGTCTCTAAGGTGCCACAAGTACTCCTCATTGTTTTTGCTGTACAGAGTAACACGGCTACAACTCTGAAATATTCTGCCCTTGGTTACATTAATGTAATCTGTGTTAAATCCATTGGCTGCAATGATACTGAAGTCATTGCAGTTGCACTGGTATAAGCTACAGCAGGAATTGGACCCCTGAAAGTAGCTAGGAGAGAGGCAATTTCCTGCAACTATTTTTCTATTTTTACAAAGCATTTACAGAACATTTTTTTCCATTCCAACACCTTAGTCAAGCTCCATTCTCTTCTTCTCTCTTCTCTGCAGTGATATTACCTGTCTGACTTTGAGCACTATAACACAGTAGAAGAGTAGTTACAGATCTTGCAACCATAGAATGGAGAAGTTTGCTATCCCCTGACCTTGACCAGGAGCAGCCGATGCAAAAAGAGAAATGCAAATAATCAGCTGAAAGTTCAGATTTGCTCAGTGATATTCAAACCTACCATCTTTAGTTTATGCTGCTTTCATTCTACACAAGAATTGACACTAGTGGAAGCATTTGACATCGACTGAAGGCAATTTTATGGCCTTTGGTATTTAACCGTTTACCCAGCTTTAGTGAACATAGCAAGTATTCAGCTACACAATCAAAAGAGGTTTACGTGGCTTTCCCTCATTGAAAATCTCCCATTGGTGCTTTTGGGATGAATTGTGCATACAATAAATGGGGACTGTATTCCCCAAAGTAGCAATGGTATTTGTGCTAGGAAGGATGTACATATTTGTGTGAAGAAAAGGAGGACTTGTGGCACCTTAGAGACTAACAAATTTATAAGAGCATAAGCTTTCGTGAGCTACAGCTCACTTCATCGGATGCATACAGTGGAAAATATAGTGTGGAGATTTTATATACACAGAGAACATGAAACAATGGGTGTTACCATACAGACTGTAACGAGAGTGATCAGGAAAGGTGAG